TATTTGGTGTATAAGACGCACCAACATTTCCACGCTCTTTTGGGGGGGGGTGCATCTTATGCTTCGAAAAATACGGTAAGCCTTTTGTTCTGTGATCTGCTGACTTGAGGGTTATCAGGACTTCTTATGTCTGATAAGAGCCGAAGCCCATGAAAAATATATCTTCTCTGGCTGTCTCTATACCTTGGATTTTCTGTCTCCATATACCTGTAATGTCAGGGAGACAGTGTAACCTAGTGATTAAGGCACCAAGCTAGAAACCAGGAAGTCTGTGAGTTCTAGTGCCCCCTTACACATGAAAACCGGCTGGTGACTTTGGGTCAATTACCAAGAGACTGTGAATTCTAGTCCTATCTTAGGTATGAAAGCCAGCTGGGCGACTTCGGGCCGCCACTCACTCTGCTTCATTGTAACCCACTTCACAGGGTTGTTGTGTGTGGTAAATAGGAGGAAGGAATATTAGATACATTTGCCGCCTTATAAAGTATAATGAGCTGTGGTGGCACCGCGGTTAGAGTGCAGTACTGCAGGCTGCTTTTGCTGACTGCTGGCTCCCTGCAGTTTGGCAGATCGAATCTCAGCAGGCTCAAGGTTGACTCAGCCTTCCATCCTTCCGAGGTGGGTAAAATGAGGATCCAGATTGTTGGGGCCAATAGGCTGATTCTATAAACCACTTAGAGAGGTCTGCAAAGCACTGTGAAGCGGTATATTAAGCCCAAGTTGCTATTGCTATCAAAGCGTTATAAAAATCCAATAAATAATCATTTTCAACTTAACACTTGACAAACTGAAAATGTCACCTCCTTTCATTTAAATAATAATACAAACTAATATAACGTGGCTATCCTTTCTCCCCAGGTGCTGCTGTTTCTTTAAGAGGAGGAAGAGGAAAACTATCCAGCGCCACAAGTGAAATATTCCTGTTGGTCGAAGCCAGGATCCTACTGGGACTGCGTTTCCCCCACCCTCCTTTGACTTCCTGGCTGAGGATAATGGATCTTGATGGAATAGGAGGGGGCACTGTTTCCCCCCCCACCTGCTCTCCCACTCCAGTTTTATTGGTGGGTAGGGACACAGGCGGCTTTGACTGTCCTAGCAGGGACACGGGGGTAGGGGCTCCCCCCATCCATTTTTCCCCCCTTTCCCCTTCTTCCCAGGAGATACAAAGGAAGGGGTGGGCAGAAAAAGCACGTTGGACTTCTTGCTCAAGTATCCTCCTCCTCTTCCTCCTGGTCCACAGAGAGAGAGAGAGAGAGAAAACAGCATTAATATTTATGCAGCAGTTTTCCTTCCCTTCCATTTGTCATGTTTATTTGTCCTCCGCCCCCCCTTTGGAGCTCCTCAAAATAGCTTTTGGAACAAAACAAAAAAACCACAAACAGAAAATGGGAATCAATTCTACTTGTTTACCTTTAGAAGAAGCAAAGTGATGATTCTGAGAACAGCCCTGCACGTATTTCTTCTTCTTCTGTTGTTTGCTTCCGTCTCTCTTAAGTTAATTTAAAAATGGCGTTTTTTTGGCCTTCATGCCGCAGCATCTCCCCCACCCCTTACGCCTTTCCTGTCGTGGCGATGCAAATTGTTTTGCTTATTTTTTTTTTCTGCTTTGAGTTTTAAGGATGTCCCCCACCCCAATGTCTCCCTGGTTTCTTTTTGTTTTTTCCCCCAGTTCATTTTTCCCAGCCCTGCCAAATTACTCTTGGGTGACATCCTTTAGGGAAGCTTTGTCCCCCCCCCCCCCGTACTCCAAAATAACACGAGAGGTAAAAATAAATGTATCGTGCAGGGGGAGAGAGGGAGGGAGGCTGGGGAATGATTTACACACTTCCTCATTTCTCAGTGCACTTTTTTTTGTAGCAATACCAGCAACATCTGTGTCTTGAAAACAATCCAATTTTAGATTTTTTTTTAAATTAAAAAAAATGTTAATTAAGTTCTACCCACTCCCAGGTGGGAGAGAATTAAGGGCAAAAGTCTTGGATCTCAGGAACGGCAGCCTGCCAAACATATAAACCCCAAAGCCAACGTCCATTGTTAAGAGAACCATGGAGACGAAGGGGACCTTTTCATGACCAAAGTGAAACCTACATGGACAGGGTCACTAGGTGAGACCGTTCCATATGGTGGCCCTCGCAGCACCTGGGTACTTCCAATTTCATTTGAAATTAAATAGCTGGCCGCAAACTCCTATTTGAGGGGAGAGAAGGAGGCCCACTGATGAAGCGTTGTGCAAGGACAATCCACTCTTCTTGTTTTGGTCTGTTTTTTCTCAAAAAAACCAACAGCCGCCTGCATTCCCAGCTTCCCAGTTGAGTGATGGCTTGGAATCGGCTCCTGCAGAACCACCGATAGGACTGTTATTAGTACGAAAAGGAGCAAAAGGCTGTTACGAAAACCATCCAAGCCAAGCCAAAATCTACCTTGCCAAGGAAGGGAGATGGCTTTAAAAGAAGGCCCGTGTCTGGCTTTCATGCTTTTATATCCCTTCGTACCCCATCACTAGCTTACATGTCTACCCCGGCCTTAGACTAAGTTGTGCCTGGGGACACAGCGGCCCATCTGCCTGGATTGAACGTATACACGCTTCTCCCTTCCGGTTGACCCAAGTCAAAACAAAACAGCTGGTCTGCGGCCATCAAAGCTACACCTGTCCGAGCTGCTTCAGCATTGTGACAATAGCAGTTACTACTTTAGATATATTTTTGTACCAAGGGATAAGACAATTGGCCCTGCGTTGCTCCGAAATATTTGTCTTTCACTCCGTGTGGTAAATTACGTGGCACTTGGAATGTCGGGATGTGGCCTGCTGGGGAAATGGTGGCAGGGTTACTACTGGGGGTTGGGGATGGGGGAATAGATACTTTTGGTCTCTGCTAAACTAAAGAGCACTCTTGGGTGGGTGGGTTACTGCTACAGACCAAAGGAGTGCAACTTTTAAAATTCGCCACACACCTCATTGTTAGTGCTAAATCATATCTATTGAACTTCATTCACCCCCTCCTAATTATGAGGGTTACTGCCTCCTCACCTTATAGCCTTGAAGTTGTTCACTTTCTAGAACTAGATTTAAACCTTTCCCCCCCCTCCCCTCCCAATGTGGGTTTTAAGATTTGAACCCCCTCCTTTCGGGGTTGCGTAATCGATGGCAATCCTGCCGATGACTCTGAAGGGAATGGAGTGGGTGCGGATCCTCCCAGCCCAACCGTTTAATTCAAAAGCTGGCACTTAATTCTTTGTGCTTTTTTTCAAGGTGGATATGAATTTCTTTGCCCTATTTTGAATGAATGTTTTTGTGGCCATTTGAAATAAGATTTTAAAAAAAAGAAAAAAAAAAGGAAAGCAGGGACTAAAACTCAGAACATGATCTCACTTTATTGATCTTAGTTTATAAACTTTGTTAACAGCAGTGCCTCTGCCATGCTAGAATCAACAAGGATTACAGGAGGTCCTAGGGAAAATTCTTGATTTGGGCAACTTCCATTAAAATAGGATTGCTTAGATATGTGCAGTGTTTGAGTTTGTTTCCCAAACAATGCAAAGAGAAAAACAGAATACAGCCTTAAGCATTGTGCTGGAAAAAAAATTATATAGTTCCAATCCCAGGAAGGTGTAAAAGAAATTTTAAAAAAATTAAAATGTTTATGTAAAGAGTGCATGAGTGTGCTTGGACTACCAGTTGCAATGTGGATTATTCTTTTTTTTTTCTTATTTTTTTTTTTAATGTGACAAAAAAGTTTTAAGGGACAACTCAAATGACAGAAAGCAAAAATCAATGAGGGTTGTAGTTGGCCTTGCGAGCTCTGGTCTTATTATCAGGTGTATGTTTCGGCCCATGTCTGATTTGCATCAAAATGAATTTTGCAGACTTAATTGTGTGGTTGTTTTGTTTTTTTAATTATGTAACAAAAGAAAAAGGTAATTTCAAGTCTGACTAGAAATGAGATTTGTACTGGTGTAGCTCCGAAGCAGAAGAGAGATTGTGGCATTGCAAATTTAGTTACTGCTTTAAAAAAAAAAAGTGTACACAAGTTATGGTGTATAAGTTTCTCTTGAAGCTTCTTTGAAGCCATAGAAGTTAGGGCTTTTTAAAAAAAAAAAAACAGGAAAAAAAATCTGAAAAACTTTAAAAAATTTAAAAAAACCTTAAAAAATAAATTCTGTAAAAATGTTTCCTTGTGTTTTGGTTTAAAAGTAGAGATGTTTTGTCTTGAAGAGTGATTTTCGGTGACTTTTTGGGGAAAAGTAAACAGTGCTGTTCAGATAGTCCTCAAGTTACGACCATAATGGAGCCTGCCAGTGTCATAAAGCAGGTTTATCTTGCTATTGAACCAATGTTATGAACTATTTTGTGGTGGTCCTGAATGAATGTGGCAGTCTTTAAGAGAACCCCTAGAATGCTGCAAACAAGTGTAAATATGGGCTAAGTTGCCAAGTGCCTGAAGCGGTCACATGACCAGGAGGTAGAAATGACCATCTGAATTTTATATCCAGGTCATAAATCTCTCCCCCACCCACCCAATGTAAGTAAGTACATGGTAACTTCCAATAATTGCTATGTAACTGAAAGTCAAGGACTCCCAGTAATGGTGCAGAGAGAAAGCATCTATTCTCTAGAACAATCTTTTTCAACCTGGGTGCCTTTAACATGGCAGGACTCCAAATCCCAGAATTCCACACCCAACTTAAAAGGTGCTGAAGTTGAAAAACAATGTGTTCCATTTTTTAAAGTGGCATCCCAGAAGCCTGAGCATAAGATGAGCATCCTCCTCTTTTTCCCCTAATCCCCCAGCATTTTTTTTTTAAAAAAAGATTCAGTTTCTCTCTATTCACTAGCCACAAATGTGCAATCCACCAACTCAACTGTGGTATGTAACATCCAGTTTGGACTCCTCCAAATGTTCCACCCTAAACTCAGCTGAATTGTGAATGTTCACCTAAACCTGAATTGTGCTGTTCTCCTGCTATACGCAAGCAAATAAGCCATCTTATCCCGCAACTGTATGACAACCTCATTTTGGCTTAGTGCACCATGTTGTTCCAGAACATACTAGCAGAGGTGATTCATCCTTCTGATCGGAGGCTTGTTCACACATTTCATGGCTTTTCTGGAATGAAACTGCATGGTCATCGGAAGCAGTTGCCAGTTGTTTCTGCTCCAACGCTCTTGCTATTCTTTGGCAAGAGTATTGTCAAAGACCTCTTACGTGCCAAAAGATGCATCTCTCCCTTACCAACATTCCTTGTCAAAAATGAGCATCCTGAATTCAGACTGGGGGGGGTGGGGGTGGAACCCAGTAACTGCCTAAAAAGTGATTTCCTACCTACAGTAACTTACAAACTCAAGAAAATGTGGGAATCAAAACAAACTGATGGTTGAACTTCACAGAAGTTGATAAGCAGGTGTCTGAATTCCAACCTACTGATCCAAAAATAGTTTCAAGAAGAGAAGCAGCTGTTACATTCACTGTCTGATTCTTGGTCCATCATGCTGATAACTGTCAACAACTGCCACAGCTTTTTTTCTGTTGCAGATGGTCTAGGCTGGGGGTCTCCAACCTTGGCAACTTTTAAGACTGGACTTCAACTCCCAGAATTCCTCAGCCAGCAAAGGCCTGGGAGTTGAAGTCCACAAGTCATCAAAGCAGGGCTCTCCAGCACACAAACCATATTAAATTTGCAACTTAGACTTGGCTGTGGGTACTACTTCTCTCATGACACACACACACACACACACACACACACACACACACAAATGCTTAAAGACAACTTTGCTGCCTTTATTCACTTGCTATTTACAAACAGAAAGGAAGGAGGTGGTGAAACGCTGAATAATACAGTTTCTGATACAGTTATTGTTATAGCATCGCATGAGCAATCGTTGACACTATTGGATGTTTGCTCTTGGCAACACCAAGATTCATTTGCAAATGCTAGAATTTGCGTCACACTCCAAGAACTTCAACTGAACTTCCCTTTCAGTTGGTGACATTTTAATAAAAACCAGATTTTATACAACAATCAGAGACCTACACACACCCAAAAGGGATTTCAAAGGATGAGTGAAATGCTTTCAGCCATCCAACCTAAAGTAGCTTGCCGTCAGAGTTACAAACTACCTTTAAACTATTTTTAAGTAGGCGTTTTTAGAAACCTATTCAATGATTATTTTTCGTCTACAGAAAAACAGATTAGCGCATCGCTGAGAAAAGAGTTCTCTGAAAAATGAAAGGTGGTGGAGGAGAAGATGTGGGGATGTTGAGAATCCCTGTAGGAAAGCAAGCTATAAAATGAACTATGAACTAATGTGTGGATATTGGATATTGAATAAGCCTCTTGATAAAAATCATGGATGTGCATATTTTCTCTACTGTCTGCTGATGGGAGAGCTAGTAACAGGAGAATGGTTCCATTCTATATACTGGCCGGAATAGAAATGTACACACATTATACAGTGATTAACAATATACAAGGGAGATTCAAAAACAGACTTGTGTGACATAAGGCTCAGGGACCTCTGTGGAATAATATGTATTTCCAGACAAGTAGTTTCAAAGGTAAACGCACCTACTGACCGTGGCAAACCAAAAGGGGGGAAAAAAATCCAGGGCAACCCTTTTTTCCTGATTAAAGATTCTGTCCCGATTGAAGACTTTTTGTGGTCAAATACTCTGTTAGAATCAAAGGAAGATGGACTCAACTTTGGTGAAACCAAACTAGGTCTTAATGCCATCAGGATAAAGTCAAGGGGTCATATTTGAAAGCAGGCTTCCCAAAGGAATGGCCAGATTGCTGGCTGGAGAATGATGGAAGTTGCAGTCCAGCACCTCAAGAAGACACCAGCAAGTCAGTGAATTTCCACTGAGAAACAAAATGTACCACATCACATCTGATTATCATAGGGGAACTGCAGAGATACTTTGTAGGAGGAACTAATTCTCAGAGAATTGAACTGCTTTCTGGCTTTATTTATTAATCTGGAGAAGGGCGTGTGTACGATGAGGGTGCGAAGAATCACACCAAATCCTTGACCCAAAACAATTGTGGATGTGGACAATTTTGCAGTAACAATAGATAAATGAATCTCTAGATCACCACAGTGGGATTTAGTTTTACCCTCCCACCAGAATCAAAAGCTGACCTGGTACCCCACCCCATCGTATTTTTTAGATTGGAAGGGGGGGGGGGAATGCTTATCTGAATAGTGCCCTCAAATACTTTCTAGGATTGATTGCTTCATGTTGCAATTTTCCCAAAGCAACAAATGTGGGAAAGTAGCATCCATAGCACACTGACAGCTGTGACTTACTAATGGAAAAAGGAACCAACCACTAGTGAGCAACACCTGGCCAAGAGTCATCAAAGTCCTTTTAGTCAAGGGACTGCCACATATCCTTGGTCCACGTTATGTTCAGTCGAAGCACAGCTGGGGAAGCTGTTCTACCATACAGCTGGGGTTGCCTATACCCATCCTAAATGCATCTGAACAATAGTAAAAAAAAAAAAATAACATGCTTTTTCTGCCCACCCCATAAGAACCATATTCTAGCTTAAGAATTCGTGAACGTAAAAAGGCATTTTACCTCCTGAAAAAATTCCTGACATCCATATCTCTCTCTCTCTCTCTCTCTCTCTCTCTCTCTCTCTCTC